ACTGAGTGGCCAGATTATTATGCATTCAGAGATCATAATAATCTGGCCACTCAGTGTATGTACATATGTAGAAATGAAAGAACTGTTTTTTTTATAAATACTGTATATGGGAGATGGCTATATAACCATTAAATGACATAAGTTGAGTCCCAGGTAACCCAAGGACTGCCTGTATAATTTCATGGCCAGCAAATGATGTTGTAAATATCTAAATGGCCCTTGGCAGAGAAAAGGTTCCCCACCCCTGCCCTAGGGTAACAGCAAAGGTTCTGATGTCAGAATGACTTTATTTGAATACTGATTCTTACTCTGAGTAACTATATGATCCTGAGTAAAATCTTTTAATATCTCTGAACTTTAATTTGCTTTTGTCTAAAATTGGGATAATAATATTACTTTTCTAATATTGTATAAATAATTAAATGAGTAAATCTTAGTAGAGTGTTTATTATACAATAGATACTAAAAATGGTAGTTATTCATATTATAGAATGACAATGACTAATAATAGCATTCTTCCTATAGGTAGATGGGCACTTAATAGGTTATAAAACCTTCAGTTACATGGATAAATCTCTATAATAGACATTTAAGGAACTTCACATAAATAGCCAATCTTCTCAGGGCATGGATCTATTTTTGTTTTACTGTTTTATTTTATTAATCCTCACCTGAGGATAGTTTTTCCATTGACTTTAAGAGAAAGTAGAAGGGATGGAGGGTGGGGGAGAGAGACAATGTGAGACACATTGATTGGAAAAGCAGGTTGCCTTACGCACCCACTACAATCAGAGCTAGGGATCAAACCCAAGACCTTAGGTTCATGGGCCAACTCTCTATCCACTGATCCACACCAAACAGGGCATGGATCTTTTTTGTACTTAAGCTTTACAGTATAATTCCTCAGTATCTGAAAAAGAAATCACTCTTTTGTTATGAAACACAATGCAATATCAGTAGCTTTTAGATCTGAGACAACATATAAAACAGGAATAATATAGAGTATTCAGGGTAATCAAGGTACAACACCCAAAATGAGTTCCTCTCTAGTGTTTCAAGTCACTCAGTTTGGTCAACAGATAATAGGCCATCCTATATAATAAAAGCGTAGGTGGCGTCATGCCCTCACATGAAGCCCTCGTGCCACACCCTCATGTGACATTACCACAAGATGGCCACCACAAGATGGCCGACAGGGGAGGGCAGTTGGGAGCAATTGAGCCAGCAGGGGAGGGCAGTTCGGAGGTGATCAGGCCAGCAGGGGAGCAGTTAGAAGCCAGCAGTCCCGAATTGTGAGAGAGATGTCGGACTGACAGTTTAGGCCCGATTCTGGCAGTTGGACATCCGCCGAGAAGTCCCAGATTGGAGAGGGTGCAGGCTGGGCTGAGGGACACCCCCTGTGCAAGAATTTCATGCACCAGGCCTCTAGTAATTCTATAAATTAGTATGCATCTAGGTAATCTAACAAGAAGCAAATGGCCTTAAAGAATGTATCAATAAAGATTCAAAGGAAAGCAAGAGAGAATCAAAGAAAGAGACAGTGAGGAAAGTGCAGTCACATATTTGTTGTTCATGAATACATCTTCATTTACTTAGTAGCTGCAAGAAAAGCAGGGCCAAAGTGTAGGAATAGTAGTATTAGTTAACGGGGTTTTGGAATTGGAATCTCAATTCTGAAGTAGATAAAAGCAGAAAAGATAGTCAAAATATTTAACAGCTCATATGGAAAAGGAGTGCCCTACGTAGAATTGGAGTTGGGTACTAAAGCCCCATTTGCCTGTTCAGTTGCTGGATAATAAGAAGATACAAGGTTCCCAAAGAAAGAGTCAGAATGTCCAGGATATCCATGGTGGGAGGACTTGGAAAGTTGAAGAAAGCAGCTTCATACCAATTGGCAAGGAGATATTTCAGCGTGTTTGGTAATCATTAGAGGTATGCTGGAATGGCAACCAAAAAGTGGTCCTGGATACAAGACTCAGACTAGATTATTAATAGGCTAAGCTGGCAGAACTATCAACATAAGTTATCTAGTGCTATATGCTCATAAAGTTCTAAAATTAGATTGTGATGATTAACTTTTGCTCTTTGATTCTAAATCAGCTGGACTGTCATCTAAATGAAAAGCAGTAACTGCATCAATTTTGTTCACCATTTATCTCTCTCACTTATCACAGTTTTCAATAAATATTTGTTTCATGAACAAGTAGCCAGTTTATCCGAGTACCTGGAGTGTCTTGAGGATACATCTATCTAGACTTATAGAGGATAGAAAGCTCTGAAAATTCATTCTGATTTTGAATTGGCCTTGAAGGTATGCTCCAGGTTCAAGCTGGTCCTATATTATTTGAACCCTTAGATATCAATTTCTAAGCCTCACCTAAGGAAAAGAATACAAGGGTGCTCTACAATTAAATAGTGTCACAAAAGTGGTGTTGAACCCTCAAAGGAGAGGGGCAGAACCCATAAGTCATCAGAGTCCTGAGCTGTTCCTTAAACCTTTTCATTTACATAAATTCTATTTGGTAGATATAAGTCCAGTTTACAACTGTAGAGATAAATAAATTTTAGGAAATAGCTAATCTATGAACTTCAGTCACTGTCAGATGAAACCAAGGTCTTATGACAATTTAAGTCTCATGATAAAGTGTGCCTATTCATTTTGGGAAGTAAAAACCGGAACTACACTGCAATTCTGTAATCTACAAATTTCTCATCTTTAAAAAAAAATAGCAGAACACTTCAAAGAATTAGCTGCCTATAACAATATTTCGGTATTTGTAATTGATGTCAATATACTGTAATTTGATTTTCATCATTTTATATATATGTTCTTAAATATAATTATTTAAAGGCTATTTCATAAAATTGTGACAAATGATGCTATACAATTACACTATAATAATTATAAAATCAGAGGAAATAATGAGAACATTTTAATAAATTTTACTAGACCTAGAGGAAAGGAACACAACAACATGATTGGAGAATCAAAGTCCTAAATTCCCAATAAACATTTCCAAATGACAGTTATCTTGATTTTAACATATGAAAACATTTTTTCCCATCATCAATTTATTTTTGCTTTCAAATATAATTTTGTTTTTGATGGATTTTCACATATACATAACTGTGTATGTATAAAAATCCATTTGATCACTAATGCACAAATCTTATTAATATGTAATGCAATCATAATAATTCTATAACAAATACATAAAATCTTATTTTACAAGCAAAAGTGCATGCCAATCACTTTACTATATCTAGGAGAAGTATAAGCTGTTAAGTATAGGGTTTTGTTTCCAAGTCTGCAATAAAACAACATTATTTCGGGTATATTTTTAAATTAATTTACTTAGTTTAGATGTCAAAATCACCATAACATGCTGATCTTGGTTATCCTTAACCAAGATCTTGATTGAGGATAATCTGAGAAGTGTGAAAAATTGCCAAGAGAATCTCTTCATTTTTATATGTATTTTATCCTATTTACCTGTATATTTTCCTTCCTCTCAACCCTTAAAAACACCATGCATACATAATGATTTTTTTTAAAAAGTTGATGCCTGCCTCAGGAAAGTTAGAAAGCACCAGGTTTCTCCCCACCCCTGTGCTCCCTCCCCCAGCTCAGGGGAGATCACAAACTCAGTCCCCCACTACTACAAATTACGCAGTCAAGTTTCCCACATTTGGGAAAATCGAAGGGGTCAGCACATCTGGAGTGCAATGAATAAACCTCACCCTGGGACAACCATCTTCGTGATCATAGTATCTCCCCTGCCAGGTAAGTATAGAAAACACCAGATTTCAATATCAAATTCTATATTTTTCTTAAGCCTTTCTTCCATATTTTTCCAATACCATTTTTGCTGACATGTACACATAAGGAACTGTTTGACATTGAAGTTGGGACTCAAAAGAACTGTTGGCCCAGAAAGAAACTCACTACAGACTGATTCATTTGCCTCTTAGCATAACCATTATGGCTTGTCTCATTTTCAGTTCTTATATTTCTTGTATCACAAGATCTCATGCATCTAGGGGAAATTATGAACAACATAAACTGATGAACAAAAACAGACCCAAAGACAGGGAAGCATTGATCAGACTGTCAAACCTCAGAGGGAAGGTAGAGGAGGGTGAGGGAAAGAGGGACAGATCAACCAAAGTACTTGTGTGCTTGCATATAAGCCTAACCAGTGGTCATCGACAACAGGGGGGTGAGGGCATGGGTGGGGAGGGTTTTGGGATGGGAATGGGAAGATGAAGACAATTATGTGATACCATAATCAATAAAGAAATAAAAAATCCAACTAAAGTTGGATTTCCTTTAGGCTATTCTTACTGTCAGTGTCAAAATATATGTATGTATGTTAAAATAAAGAATAATTAAGCACAATTGTTTTGTGGCAAATAAATGCTTCTGTATGATATCATTTCTAGTGGTCCTTTCAGTAGCTGAAAGCAATAATCCTTTCCTCATCTCAGTTTTGTACCACTTTTGTGGTAAATAAAGGTGATGAGTGAGAGTGAGATAATCAATGTGGGGTTCCAGTGGCAATTAAATAAACAAGCCATACAGAATTTACAAAAATCAATGTGGCAATCATTAAAGATGTCAAAATAATTTTTAAAAATGGTCATATAACTTAATCATTAAAATTGTCTCATAAAATAATACAGATGTACCATTGATGAGATCTTTTCTATTTTCTATTTATTGATTTTAGTGAGAAGGAGAGAGAGAGAGAGAGAGAGAGAGAGAGAGAGAGAGAGAGAGAGAGAGAGAGATATTCGTGCCCTGACCTTGGAATCCAACCCAAATCCTTGGCGTATAAGGATGGTTCTTTAACCAACTGACCTACAATGCCAAGGCCAAATAATTTCTCAAAAAAAATTTTATAACCATAGCCCAGGAGGCCTGATGTGACATGATAAAGCAGAGAAAACTATTATTACACCAGTATCTTAAGTCAGTGTAAAGAACCTATAATTAGTTTTTATATTACATTTGATACAAATTCCCTACTTCTCTGGTTTGATATTTGTAGGTTAGGAGTGCTAAATTCAGAACTGTTTCCATGAGAAATGTTATAGAGATTACATCTTGAAAAAGAATGTAGGAGAGCTTCCCGGGCTTTTGAAGCCTCTATGTTCTGTTCTTGAGAGATTTGAAGACTAAACTGATTTACATTATTCATTAGCAAATTAGAAGCCATGAGGTTGGTTATAGAGAGGCACTTGGTGAGATTTTCTTCCAAAAATTGTTTGTAGAGTTCATCCAGCTTGTTTTCCATATACTTATTAAGCATAGAATTAGAGAGGGGCTGCTTAAGAAACAACATACTTTTTTCTCGAATTTCATCCCTATTCAAAAGTTTTGAGGCAGGTGGTTTCTCTAGAGGCTTAATGATAGGAGAATGGCCCAATGGTATATCCACTGAAAGTAAAAGGGGACCATTAAAAGCATCATCACGTATCTGTTCCACAATGCAGCCTGAATCATACATGTTGCTCACTTGGTCTCCTCCAATCTGTAGGTCAGGATAATTCTGGCAAATACTTGTACATGACCAAGATTGGTATAAATCCAGTTGTCTTTCATCACGTTGTTCTCTTTTTGGAATGGGCAGCGCAACAGACAGATTTCCTGGACAGGATGCACTTTTGTATTTTGGTACAGTTATTTCATCCACAAATTCTATTTTACTTGTATCATTCATTTGCTTTGTTGAACTTTCTTTCTCAACCTTTTGTTGATTTTCTATTTTATCAGGAGAAAGTGAATTGTCTTCTATATCTAAAAGCTGCTTTTTCCAAGTTTCCTTTTCATCATTTGAGGTCTTCTTACATGTAAGTGGTTTACAAACTGTTGTATATTTCTGTTCTTTGTATAGGAGTTCAAGTAGGAAGGCTTCTCCGAGCATTTTATTAGTCAAGATTTCTAAACAGAAGAGTGTAGTATATTCCTGTAAATTATAAAAGAACCCATTAAGGCAATATATATTAAAATGTCAAATTAAGATGTTTCTTCTACATGAAACACAAGTGATTTAGGAAGGTAGTGTTACTCAAAAGACAGAGAATAGGACCTGGAATAAGAAGGTTTGGGTTCAAATTAGGCTATTACTTTTTTAAACTTAAATTCTTTATTGTTTAAAGCAGTGTTTCCCAAACTTCTCTCGTGATGAGAATCACCTGGTAGAGTTGTTAAACTACAGATTCCTGAATCCCAACTAAGAAGTGGTAAACTAGAATTTTGGGGAACATATAGGTAAAATTGTATACTTAACTTAGTGCTCTCTCTTAGATATTTGGCTCTGTCTTAGAGCACTAGTTAAATATACAATTTTACCTATGTGGTCCCAAAAATTTTAGTTTAGCACTTCTTAGTTGGGATTCAGAAATATGTAGTTTAACAACTCCACCAGGTGATTCTCATTATGAGAGAAGTTTTGGAAACACTGGTTTAAAGTATTACATATGTCTCCTTTTTCCCCAATTGACCTCTCGCCAGCCACTCCCACCCCCCAGCACATGCCCTCACCCCCCTACTGAATGTGTGCATTGGTTATGCTTATATGCATGAATACAAGTCCTTTGGTTTATCTCTTACCCCCCACCCTCCCCTAACTTTTTAATATCAGATAATTTATTTATCATTCCTGGGTCTCAATTTCCTCTCAATTAAATGGTAATAATACTCCCCTGCTTTCTTCACAGAATTGTTTTCAGGATATTATATGATGTACATGCAAGTGTTTTTAAAAGTACAAACTTATGCATCATTTTTATTTCCTCTTTTTTCTGCAAATAACTGGATCTGCAGGAGCTAAAGAGTCATACAACCAAACATGTACGGTGGGTACATCGCTTGCAAGCTGGGGTCAGAGTGAAGACAGAAGGAAGTGTGTAAAAATAATGTAGGTTATAGTTTTAATCCACAAGTAGCTGGATACAAGGCCAAGAGTTCTCAAAAACACAATTCAAAAGCATCACTTGGTGTCCCATATTAATAACAACCCATGATAATGACTACGTATTAAGTTATTGAGAAAGAGAGAATGAGTGACTAAATCACACTAAACCATTTGATGCTGTCTTAAGTGACAGGTTAATAACAACACAATTATGCCTAGGTTCTATGCATAGTGTAGTCATAGGGGGAAGTTACAGAAAACTAGGCCAGCAGAAAATTTCCGTCTTGTTGTATTAAGCAAGTTTAGCCTTCTGTCTTGTCCCTTAAAGAAAAAGAGAGAGCAAAGAGAAGAAAGGAGAAGTCGAACGGATAAACAAAGTCATGGAATGATACCAGTCATTTTTATAACTTGAAGAAGCATAAAAAGGCCAGCTTGCATACTTATATTTATTCCAGAACCTGTTCAATGTTTTATAATGTAATTTTCCATAAAAAAATACATATATCAGACAATACAAAAGTATAAACTTATACATATGTTTATACACACACACACACACACACACACACACACACACACATATATATATATATATATATATATTCAGCTGTCACAAATGATTTATTTTAAAGTTATTAATGCACCTAACCCTTTCTTTTTTAAAAATAATTTTTGATGTTGACACTGTTGTAGTTGTCCCCCTTTGGCCCTTCAAATAGCCTACTTAAAATGAAACTTGCTATCAAGACCTTGGTCTTAATTTAACTGTGTTTTAATTACTGTAATTTGAATCACACATTGAAAAAAATTACTATGCCTTAACATGTGTACAAAGAATGAATATTTACTTATACATAATTTAAACTCACAAATACTTTCAGATTTAAAATATAAATACAGCCACTTACTTTTAAATATTCCAACTTGAAACAGAATTTCATAGAGATGGAAAGTGGAAAAGAGATTGTCAGGGTCTCGGGGTAGAAAGGAACAGGGAATTAGTGTTTAATGGGCAGTGTTTTAGTTTTGCAAGATGAAAAATTTTTGGAATCATAATGGTAATGGTTGCACAACAACGTGAAAATACTTAATGCCCCTGAACTGTACACTTAAAAACAGCTAAAACAATCAATCAATCAATCAATCAATCAATAAAAATTATTTTGCCAAATTCACTACCATCCATTTTTTTGTCTTTCCCTTTCTTTCCTTCCTTCTCTTTCTCCCTTCTCCTTCCCTCCTTCTCTCTCTCTCCCTCCCTTCCTCCCTCCCTCCCTCCTTTCCTTCCTTCCTTTCTCCCTTCTTTTTACTCCCTTCTTTTTTACTTAAATCTTATTTGTCAAAGCACTTAATTCAGTCTTTTGCATGGTTTGGCATTCAACTTTAAGTATCTCAATTTTCTCTATAAATTCTACAAGTGTGAGAAGAGAAAAAAGAGACTTGATTCAAGACACAATCTTCCTTTTATAGGTCTATAAATGTTTCCAGGAAACGTACTTATTTGCCTTTAAATATTTTTTTTGGGGGGGAATCAAACAATACAACACAAAAGATATAAGAATTTAGATTTACCTTTGCCAAATATCAAGATGCCAAAAGATTCAGTCTTCTGAGATTCCAACACTCCAAACACAGGAAAAGCTCCTTTGGCTTCTTTGTTTCTTAGCTTTTGGGTTACACCTCGGAATGAGAAGTTCAACCACACAAAATAAAATGGTTCTGCTTTCCATTCATGCCCTGGGACTGAACCAAACTAACAGGAAAATGATGTGGGCTGATCTCATGTATGGTATGATGATGAAGATCAAAACCAAAAGAGGATCTTGAAAGTTTTTATTCAAGATGCAAATGAAAATAACTGTGGGAAATGTTAACAGCAATAGGTTTTTTGTTGTTGTTGTTGTTGTTATTCAAGCAAAGACAGAAACAAAGTTATTTTTTAAAAATTAAGTTAAAACAAAAGCAGTGTGGAAACCAGCATATTTTGTAATAATTATTAATTTAAAATAACTCAAACAGCCATCAAGAATATAACGGTTAGATAAATTATGATACATCTATTCCATTAAATATAAAACTAAGGATTTTTAATAATGGAATGGTAATAAACATCTATTAAGTAATTACTACAAACACACAGTTCAATAAAAGAGAAAAGACAGAAGCTATTATCTCCATGTAACAAAAGAAACAAATACAAAGAAAGGTTCTATACTTGTTGAAAGCGAGGAAATGGTGGGACTATTACATGAATCAGGCAATTGAATTGAGAACTCATGCTCTTAATTACTACACTGTATTACTTTAATGTGTACTGATGGAATGTGAGTTGCAGACAACATATTCAGTATGATTGCCTCATCTATCGAGCATGTAATATGTGCCAGGCACTTTTCTACAGATTTCACATGTACTAACAGATGTAATCTTCATAATATCTCTATGAAACAGATATTTTAATTGCCATTTTACATACAAGGAAACTGAAAAACAGAGAAGTTAGATAGGATGTCCAAAACTTAGAGCTGTAAGTGGTATAGAGTTTGGGTTTAGATATAGGAAGTCTGGCATCAAAGACAATGCTTAACTTTCCTGCTATAACTGGCTTTTTCTCTTTTAATTGAACTAATATATGTAATTATGTTATGGAAAAGGATATAAATCAAACTGTTAATAATGGTTTCTTCTGTTGAAACCGGTTTGGGTCAGTGAATAGAGCGTCGGCCTGTGGACTGAAAGGTCCCGGGTTCGATTCTGGTCAAGGGCATGTACATTGGTTGTGGGCACATCCCCAGTGGGGGGTGTGCAAGAGGCAGCTGGTCGATGTTTCTCTCTCATCGATGTTTCTAACTCTCTATCACTCTCAATTCCTCTCTGTATAAAATCAATAAAATATATTTTAAAAAATAATAAAATAAGTAAAAAATAATGGTTTCTTCTGGTAGTAGATGGCACATGCAAGGTGAACGGGTAATTTTACTTTTTAGTTCCAATATTTCTATGTGGTTTGAATATTTCTACAAGGACCATGTGTTCATGTATTATTTGCACAATTGAAAAATAAATAATTCACATACACAAAGGACAAGAAAAATTATACCTTCTTTAGAAATAATTTTCTCAATTTCACAAGTGTCTGCCACAATCTTTAGAATGATTTTAAATCCAGATACAAAATTCTAAAGTAGACTGAGAAGCATAAACAAAATTTCTAACTAATTGATACTTTGGGCTATAGTGATCAATAAATCTTTTTATAACTAATAATATTTCAAAGTAATTATCAAAAATATTCCATAGAATAGGTTAATTCTATTTTTTCCATTTTTATTTTTTAAATTATAGGTGTGCCATCCTATATAATAAAAGCCTAATATGCAAATTGACTGAACAGCACAACTACCTGTGGAACAACCAGTTGCTATGATGCTCACTGACCAGATGCTCAACACAGGAGCTGCCCCCAGTCCGCAGGCCCCAGGCCAGCCAAAACAGGTGCCAGTGGGAGCCCAGATCACCCTGCAGGTCACCTCCTGCAGAGAAAGGTGACAGCCATGGTGGTGGGGGTTAGGGATGGCGAGCAGGTGGCACCAGGCCGGCCAAAGTGGGTGCCAGCAGGAACACCCCGATCGCCTTGCCAGTCACCTCACAGATTGGCCCTGATTGCCAGTCAGGCATAGGGACCTTACCCATGCATGAATTTCATTAATCAGGCCTCTAGTTGGTTAATAAAATTATCTAAGCCATACCAATAAATTTATGTTAGGTTGTCAAAAATATCCTCTTACAAGAAACTAGAGGCCCAATGCGTGAAGATTCATGCAAGAATGTGCCTTCCTTCTCCTGGCTGCCAACACCACCTTTGCTATAGCCTGAGCCACCTTTTCGCCTTACATGCTGCACAGAGGCCCAGAGCAGCTGGGGTGGTGCAGAACACCTGCATCATCACCAATGACGCAAGCATCCCACCACACCCCTGGCCACTCAGTGCTTGCATATGCAAATTA